CTCTAGCCCGGGCAACACAGTGAGACTCTGTCTCAAAAAAAAAAAAAAAAAAGACTATTTCTTCCTCCATTGAATTATTTTGGCATCATTGTCAAAAATCAGTTGAGGCTGGGTGTGGTGGCTCATGCTTGTAATACCAGCACTTTGGGGGCCAAGGTAGGGAGATCACTAGAAGGTAGGAGTCTGAGACCAGCATGGAGAACATAATGAGACCCTGTCTCTACAAAAAATTTAAAATTAGCCAGGTGTGGTAGCACATGCCTGTAGTCCTAGCTACTCAGGAGGCTGAGGCAGGTGGATCACTTGAGCCCAAGAATTGAGGTTGCAGTGAGCTGTGATCATACCACTGCACTCCAGCCTGGGTAAGAGAGCAAGACCCTATTTAAAAAAAAAAAAAAAAAAAAGAATCAATTGACCAGAAATGTATGCATTTACTTCTGGATCTCAATTCAATTCCATTGCCCTATATGTCTGGCCTTATGCCAATACTATACAGTCTTGATCACTGTAGCTTTGTAGTAAGATTTGAAATCAAGAGGTGTGAGTCTTTCAACTCCTTTTTTCAAGACTGTTTTGACTATTCTAGGTACCTAAAATTTCCATGTGAATTTTAGATTCAGTTTGTCAATTTCTGTAAAAAAGACAGTTGGAATTTTGATATGTTTTACATTTAATCTGCAGATCATTTGGGGGAATATAGGCTTAACAATATTAAATTTTGCAAAGAATATGTTTTTCCTTTTATTTTAGGTCTTCTTTAATTTTTTCAACAATATTTTGTAGTTTTCCATGTACAACTCCTGTACTTCTTTTGTTAAATTTATTCATATGTATTTAATTCTTTTTGATGTTATTGTAAATGGAATTGTTTTTCTTAATTTCATTTTTGGATTCTTCATTGCTAGTGTATAAAAATCCAACTGAAGTCTTGGGCATGGTGGCACATGCCTGTAGTCCCAGCTACATGGGAGGCTAAGGCAGGAAGATCACTTTAGCCCAAGGTTTGAGACTGTCAGGTTCAAGTTTGTGTTGTGTTCCCTGGTTCTTGGTTCCCAGTACCGAAGAATGGTTACTGGTACCAAATTGACAGAACAAATGAGCAAGCCAAATGGATATAAACAATTTAAACAGCCAGATTTATTGAGCACAGAAAATCCTAGAGAGGGGACAGGTTTATCCCACTAGTGGAAACGACTCTGATTTGGAAAGGGGTCTGGTTTCTTATCCTATATTCTTAATAATATGCTAAGCTGGGGAGAGATTATTCATGAAGTTACAGGAAATGGGTGGAGATTTCCTAAAATTTGATCCCTCCTCTTTTCTGGCTTTACAAGGTAGTTTCTGGAGTTGCCATGGCATTTGTAAACTGTCCTAGAGGGTGGGCTGGGGGTGTGTGATTTTTACTCTACTAAGGGGTGTTCACCCAGGGTCACTGCCAAGCTCATCTGTGCATATGCCCCAAGTTGTCTGTTTCTGCGGTTGGGCCATCTCTTAGGTTTGTGGGTTTCTTACCTTCCTCTAATTGTCCAGCAACAATATCTCTATCAAATCTCCCTCACCCTGCCTCCACATCTGTTTCCCCTTCCTCTTGGTCCCTATCTAACAAGACCAGCCTGGAGACATAGCAAGACCCCCTCTCTTTTTTCTTTTTTTACTTTTCATAGTGCTCAGAGAAAGGACCCCATCTCTTAAAAAAAGAAAAAGAAAATTAAAAAAAAAATACAAAGATTTTTTACTTAGGAATAAACTTAACCAAGGAGGTGAAAGACTTGTACACTGAAAACTACAAAATGTTGCAAGAAGAAGTTAAAGAAGACATAAATAAATAGAAGATAGCCCATATTCATGGATTAGAAGACAATATTATTAAGATATCAGTGCTACCCAAAGCTATCTGCAAATTCAATCGCTACCAAAATCTCAGTGGCATTTTTTGCACAAATAGAAAAATTAATCCTAAAATTCATATGGAATTTCAAGAGACCCTGAATAGCCAAAACAATATCAGAAAAACAACACAGTTGGAGCAGTAACACTTCCTGATTTCAAATCTTAGTACAATGCCGTAGTAATCAAAACAGTGTGATGCTGGCATAAAGACAGACATATAGCCCAATGGAGTAGAATAGAGAGCCCACAAATAAACCCTCACTATAGTCATGATTTTCAACAAAGGTGCCAGGACCACTCAATGGGGGAAAAGATAGTCTTTCAACAAATGGGGTTGGGTCAACTGGTTATCCACATGCAAAAGAACGAAGCTAGACTCTTGTACTATATGCAAAAATTAACTCAATGGACATATTTGAAACTCGGACTTAGGGGGGTAGCGGGGGCAAGGGCAACATACGTAACCTAAACATCTGTACCCCCATAATATGCTGAAATAAAAAAAAAATTAACTCAAAATGACCAAGACCTAAATGTAAGAGCTAAATCTATAAAACTCGTAGAAGAAAACACAGAGGAAAAGCTTCCTGACATTAAATTTGGCAATGATACCTTGGAAATGACACCAAAAGCACAAGCAACAAAAGAAAAAATAGATAAATTGGACATCAAAATTTAAAATTTCTGTACATCAAAGACAATTTCAGCAGATTGAAAAGGAATGGGGGGAAATATCTGCAAATCATATATCTATCTATAAGGGGTCAATATCTAGGATAGAGAACTTATACAACTTGACAACAAAAAACCACCTGATTTTAAAAATGGGCAAAGGACTTAAATAGAAATTTTTCCAAAGAAGATATACAAATGGCCAACAAGCACTTGAAAAGATGCCAACATCACTAATCGTTAGGGAAATGCAAATCGAAACCACAATGAAATACCACCTGATAACCATTAGGATGGCTATTATCAGATAAACAAAAAATAACAAATGTTGGCAAAGATGTGACAAAACTGGAACCCTTGAGCATTGGTAGGAATGTAAAATGGTGCAGCCACTATGGAAAACAGTATAGCAGTTCCTCAAAAATTTTAAAGTAGAATTACCATATGATCCAGCAATTTCGCTTCTGGGTATATATCCAAAAGAACTGAAAGCAGAGTCTCAAAGAGATATGTGTACACCCATGTTCATAGCAGCATTATTCACAGCAGCTGAAAGGTAGAGCAACCCGAGTGTCCATCAACGGATGAATGGATAATCAAATTGTGGTATATGTATACAATGGAATATTATCCAGCCTTTAAAAGGAAGGAAATTCTGGTAGCAGTGGCGGTGTCGGTAGCGGCTGCACCGAAGAGAATTTGGCGCGATGTCTCACACCATTTTGCTGGTACAGCCTACCAAGAGGCTAGAAGGCAGAATTTATGCTGACTATAATCTGTGAATGAGTGCATGGAAGGTGTTTGTAAAATGTATGAAGAACATCTGAAGAGAATGAATCCCAACAGTCCCTCCATCACATATGATATCAGTCAGTTGTTTGATTTTATCAATGATCTGGCAGACCTCAGCTGCCTGGTTTACCGAGCTGATACCCAGACATACCAGCCTTATAACAAAGACTGGATTAAAGAGAAGATCTACGTGCTCCTTCATCGGCAGGCCCAACAGGCCGGGAAATAATTGAGTTGGAAGCATCAGGGGGGTGGGGGTGGGCTTGGAACACAGGTGTGTACAGCGTGCTGTAGTGAAAGTTTTGTATGATAGTAATCCTGTTTCCATTTTGTTACACTCTAGCCAAGATTGAATATATTAGATAAAATGTGAAAAAAAAAAAAAAAGGAAGGAAATTTTTACATGTTACAATCTGGATGAACCTTAAGGACATTATGTGAAATAAGCCAGTCACAAAAAGACAAATACTACTTATGTGAGGTACCTAGAATCATCAAATTCATAGAGACAGAAAATAGGATTGTGGTTGCCAGGAGGATGCAGAGGGAGGGGAATGGTGTGTTTTTCTATAACAGGTACAGAGTTTCAGTTTTGTAAGATGAAAAGAATCCTGGAGATAGATGGTAGTAACTTGAAAATGATTAAGATGGTAAATTTTATTTGTATTTTACTACAATTAAAATTAAAAAAAGAAATACAACTGACTTTTGTATATTGATTTTGTATCCTGAAACCATGCTGAACTTTTATTAGCTCTAATAATTTTTTGGGTGTGGACTCCCTAGGAATTTTTAGACCCAAGATAATATCATTTGTAAATAGAAATAGTTGGACTCCTTACTTCTTTTTCTTGCCTAATTAACTAGCTAGAACCTCCAGTTCAATGCTGAATAAATGTATTAACAATGGACAGCCTTATCTTGTTCCTGATTTTAGGTAAAAGCATTCAGTATTTCATGATTAAGTATGAGGTTAGCTGAGGGTTTTCATAGATATCTTTTATCAGATTGAGTAAATTACCTTCTACTCCTGATTTTTTAGTTTACAAGTGTTTTATCATGAAAGGTAGTTGGATTTTGTCAAATGCTTTTTCTGTTATCTATTGAGATGATCATATGGTTTTCTTCCTTTATTAATATGGTATATTACATTAATTAATTTTCATATGTCAAATCAACCTTCTATTCCTGGGATAAATCCCACTTGGCTATTGTGTTGGGGATCTCCAAGACCACTCTTAGGATCAACAATTCACCAGGAGGACTCACAGCTATGATTTATTACAGCAAAAAGATACAGAGCAAAATCGGCAAAGGGAAGTGGCCCATGAACAATGTTTGGAGGTAATTAGGCACAGGTTTCCAAGGGTCCTCTGCCAGTGGAGTCACACAAGATGCACTTAATTCCCCCAGCAATGACTTATGACAACACAAGTGAAATGTCATCTACCTGCGAAGCTCATTAGAGACTCAGTGCCAAGTGTTTATTGGGAACTAGTCACGTAAGCACCATCTTGCCTAGCATGTACCAAAATTCCAGAGCCCCAGAAGCGAAGCAGGTGTTCAGAATAAACCACACTGCAACTAGCAATTTAGCCACATTGAGCCACTCTTATCAGTTAAGGTTGTGGGAACCCTCTCAAAATCAAAGTTCCCAGGCACTAGTGAAGGGTCAACCTTGCAAGCAGGCCTTTCTAAGGTATGGTAATATTTTTCTGCACCATCTATCCCTTTGGCCCTTGTCTACAGTGTCTTTAGAGGAAAATTATTATCAGTAGGACTCTATATGGCAGGATGAGACCAAAGTATAGTACTGACTTCAGTCATCCTGTTTAGAAGTTCTGAACTAATTGAAGCTGACCTGAATGCCTCCTTCCAGGGCTGAAGCAAGGTCATGAAAGTCACTGATGGGGTACACACAGAAGTGTATTCCCATGGAAAGTACATGGTACCTCTGGACGCAAAGTTTCCAGCACATGATAAAGACACTGCAAACAGGACATACATTAGTCAGGCAGTATAGGTTAACAGGGCCCTCAATGTGGCCTTTGCATTGTGGGGCCTCTAACCCTAGGGTTTTAGTCCAGTCTGAAATAATGCAGTTCAGTTCTTGGTTTCAGAAGTGTTGCAGTCAGTTCCAAACAATTCTGCTTGTCCATGATATCAATTCATCAGTCTCATGAGTATGGATGACATCTGTAAATGTTCTGCACAGAAAATACAGGAGCAGGGACACCCTTGCGGTCTTGCAGTCAGCTTATCAGTTAGGATCACAGGCTCAGCAGTCAGTTTGAATAAAGGTGCTCAGAGCAGCTTGGAAAGACAGCATGGAAAGTTTTTAAGTAAGAGGGGTAAGCTTCCAGAAACAGCTCTGAAAAACAAAGATCATTAATTCCCTTCTTACTCCCACCCCACCCCCCAACGCCTCCCCAGGTGTTAGGGCTTTGTTTTTCCCCATTGTTACAAAATCAGTGTGTTCCATTCAGTCAGTGATCAAAAGCTTACATTTTTTTATCCCATACCCTCACCCAGACTTTATCTGGAATGGCTGTATGCAAGAGGGACAAAAGGATTTTCACAGGAAAATATTTTTATACAACTTAACCAGAAAAACCCATCATGTTCAAAAATTGGTGAGGACAACATCCTGAATTTTCAAAATGGGTTTATATTCACTTTTACCCCTTTATCCTGATTATTTACCTAGTGAGAAGCCTAGAAAGCCTCATCTTTCTGAGGACAGCTGCATTTAACAATCAAATTGCATGTACGTTTGCGTACCGGGAGAAAGATGAGAGAAGGAGAGTCAGGCTATCAGTCCATTGCTGCGAACTGCAAGTAATCCAGAAAGTCAAGCACAAATCAACAGTAGTGAGGTATTTCCGAGATGAGGTTGAGAGACTTCATCTGTCAGAGGGGCAGATGCGCCCCTTGTGATCCACCCACTCCCCCAACGTGTGCAGCTTTTGGCAGGAATCGCGGGTTAGGAATGTATTCAGTTTCTGCACCCAAAATATAAAAATGGGCTGGGCACAGCGGCTCATGCCTGTAAGTCTAGCACTTTGGGAGGCCAAGGCGGTGGGGATCACTTGAGGCCCGGAGTTTTAAGACCAGCTTGAGCAAGAGCTGTCTTTACAAAAGACCCTGTCTTTACAAAAAATAGAAAAATTAGCTGGGTGTGGTGGTGTGCACCTGTAGTTCCAGCTGCTTGGGAAGCTGAGGCAGGAGGGTCGCTTGAGCCTAGGAGTTTGAGGTTGCAGTGAGCTATGATGATGCCACTGAACTCTAGCTGAGGCAACAGAGTGAGACCTTATCTCAAATAAAATAAAATAAAATATGATGAGCAGTTCAATTTTAGATGATCCCATCAGAGAATAACCATTTTCCTGTAGTTATTTGCAAGTGACCCAGATGAACCAGCCACCATCCATGATGTTTTCACAGTTTATGGCCCCACAAAGGGATGTCCTAAATCTGCAATGATCCGTGAGCAGAAGAGCTGTTTTGAGCCTATGTCTGCTTTCAGTTCAGCACAGCTCATGTTGAGGCTGAAACAGCTCAAAGCAGACAGTTATCTAGTTTAACACAGAGTCAGGTCCAGGCAAGTAGGGTCTATGAATTCAGGACACAAAAGTCAATAGCTTTTCTTCAGCACTGGCAAAGTCAATATGCTCCAGGACCAGACAACTGTGTTGCAAGTATAACTGATAAGCAAGACTTTACTGACCCCTTTTGTTTTACTAGTCTTATAGTCCAAATTGACCCACTTATACAAATTTGCACATCAGGCGAATCATCTGTCTCTTAAGGGTCACACATCTGATTTCACAAGAGCTCATTACCAAATTAAAAACTGCTTTTGAAAACTCCAGAAGTGTATCTCTATCTGGAGATTGCCTATCTTTTCATGTTGTCTCCCTCTTTCCTGAAGCTCCAAAATCAAATTAAGCAAAAATCATACTAAAAATCATCAGTTATGGAGAATTGTTCTGTTTCCAATACTCAGTGGGCTTCAACTCTAATGTGCCCAGAAAAAGCAAAGAAGTTCCATTTTATTAACACATTTTCTTTGTAGCTTTCCATGATTGGAATTGTTCCTCTTCCATTTATGAAATCACAAGCATATAATGTTTTACATCAATTTTTATACATCCAGATGTATCAGCAACAAAATACAAAGCCATTTTTTTAATTCCCCATTTTTTCTCTCACTGCAAATTTACTCAAACCTCCAGCAGTAAATTCAGCATTTACAGGGTTAACATTAGAGTTGCTGGAGATAATCCTTGCTGGAATACAAGGAATAGGGATGACAGATCTCTGAAGCAGTGGCAGCAGCTAGGCTGAAGAATGAGTTAGAGTGTTTCTCCCCCTTTGTCTAAAATTTTGCTCAAGCCCTAGGCACTGATTTAACTTTTCCCCCCCACCTAGAGAAGAGAACAAATACCAAAGGCATAACTGGACTGCATTCCCTGCTCCTGCCCCCAGTTTAGCCAGAAAAGCCAAAAGTGGCCAGGGATTCCAGTGAGCCAACTCTCCTGGAGTTGGAGCTATCATTTTTAAGTCCCACGAGTAACTTTTACCCCTCACGACAGCAGCTTTAGCTGCTTTATGATAACACAGATGATTCCATAGCCACCCAGGCACCAGAGAAGGTTCATCATACCCCATTCCTTCATCTTTCCTTTACCCAAACAATGCTTTGGCCACATATTTCATTGGGTCAGGGTCATTCTAGTAAATCCCACTTTTGACACCTACTGTGTCGAGGTCCTCAGAAAACTCAGAATCTATAGGAGGACTCATAGGACTCGGGATATAATTATACTCATGCAATTTGTCTTATCATAGTGAAAGGATACAAAGCAACATCAGCAAACGGAAACAGTGCATGGGGTGAAGTCAAAATCTGGAGGAAGCCAGGTGCAAGCTACCAACGGTCTTCTCCTGGTGGAGTCACACAGCTGAGCTCTTAATACCCCTAGCAACAAGTTATGACAACAATGTGAAATGTAGTCTACCAGGAAGCTCATCAGAGACTCAGTGCCCATGAGTTTTACTGTGGGGTGGTCATCTAGACACCCTTGGCCTAGTACATACTGAAATTTCCACACTCCCATAAGGAAAGCAGCTGCTTTCCTGTATTCAGCTGCTACCGTCTGAATGTGTCCCCCTAAAATTCTTATGCTGAAAGTCAATTGCCACTGTGATAGTATTAAGAGGTGGGGCCTTTAGTAGGTGATTAAGTCATGAAGGCACAGCCCTCATGAATGGGATTAATGACTTACAAAAGAAGTGTGAGGAGCTGTTCATCTACCTTCTGCCATGTGAGGAAGCATCAACAAGGCACCATCAAGGAAGGTGAGGGAGCCTTGCCGTCATCAGACCAAACCCACCAGCACCTTGATCTTGGACTTCCTAGACTCTATAACTGTAAGTAATAAATTTCTATTTTTTATAAATTACACAGTGTCAGGTATTTTGTCATAGTAGAACAAACAGACTAAGACAGAATGCTACGTTAGAAAAGGCCATGCTGCTTCTATCAGTCTCTCTCTTGGGATGCTCACCTTCAAAACCCAGCTGCCATGTTGTGAGGAAGCTCAAGCCACATGGAACGCTATGTAAAGCTATTCTATCTGACAGCCCCTATTGAGGTCCTAGATGACAGTGGTGACCATGTGATAGACTTATTAGTAAGGAAGCCTGAGATTCTCTGGGTCTATCTATCCCTTATAAATACTTTCCACAAGTTCTCTAACTCCATCTCTCACCCTCAAGGGTATGGTCTTAAGAGTGTATAGCAAGATCATGATCTAGTAAGAATGGATTTATAGGAAGCTTAATTCTTTTTTTCTTTTTTTTTTTTGAGACAGAGTCTCGCTTTGTGGCCCTGGCTAGAGTGAGTGCCGTGGCGTCAGCCTAGCTCACAGCAACCTCAAACTCCTGGGCTCAAGCGATCCTCCTGCCTCAGCCTCCCGAGTACCGGGGACTACAGGCATGCGCCACCATGCCCGGCTAATTTTTTCTATATATATATTTTTAGTTGTCCAATTCATTTTTTTCTATTTTTAGTAGAGACGGGGTCTCGCTCTTGCTCAGGCTGGTCTCAAACTCCTGAGCTCAAACAATCCGCCTGCCTTGGCCTCCCAGAGTGCTAGGATTACAGGCGTGAGCCACTGCGCCCGGCCCGGAAGCTTAATTCTTACTGTCCTCAAAAGGCAGGAATATCTTTATAACCCCCTGTGAACTAGTTCCAGGAGGAGGTGGTTTACAGTGAAAATGCTGGACTTGGAATAAAATGGAAAGGAATCTAATTTCTAGCTGAGTACTGGTAATGTAGTCTTCAGCAAATCACTTAATTTATCTGATATTCAGTTTTCTTATTTGTAAAGTGGGGCATAATAACAGCTACTCTGTCTCCCCCACAAAATTACTGTAGGAGGTAATGGGTAAGAAAAGCATTCTTGCCAGGCGTTGTGGCTCATGCCTGTAATTCCAGCACTTTGGGAATCCAAGGCAGGAGGATCACTTGAGCCCAGGAGTTTGAGGCTGCAATGAGCTGTGATCACACCACTGCACACTAGCCTGAGCAACAGTGAGATCCTATACCTTAAAAAAAAAAAAAAAAAGGCATTTTTAAAAAAGTAAAACACTATACAAATGTGAGATTTATTAAGTGCCTACTGCATATATTATTCATAGGGATTTACATAAGAAGCAGAAGGTACAAATCCTCCCCTTCCTTAATTTCTTGGTGATATGCCTCAGTTTGCTTTGACATATACTTGCTTAAATGGCTCCTCTGAGCCTGGCACTGTATCGGGTTCTTGAAGAGCTCCTTGTCATAGCTAAGATCCCTTTCCTTCAGTTATAAACTTGGATAAAATGTTTTGCCATTAGGCAGTCAAAGTTTTTGAAATGACACTATGAAAACTAGGTCAAGTTGATATGAAATTATCATATTGGTTTTAGCCAATTTTCTCCCTCTATTATTTAGGGTATTCCATTTCTAAGCAAAGCGTTGGATGTGTCACTAAATAGCCAGCCACATATAGATGTCCTATGGGAAACCTCAAAACTCTCAAAATCTCTTCCTCCTGCTGAATTCTCCAAATTAGACAAATGAGCCAGCATCCACTCGATCATATAACCTGGAAATTTAGGAATAATCCTTTACGCCTCTCCCTTTCCATCCATCCTGGTGTTTAGCTTCACAACAATTCCCCCACCCCTACCTTGGCTTCTGAGGATTTGCTCTAAAATCTGTCTGGTCTCCACTCTTACTGCCACTGTCTCATCTATACTTTGGCAACAACTTCCTAATACTGTCCCTGTTCAGTGCTCCCCTCCTCTAGTCTCACTACCGACAAACTAATCCAATGTAAAATTTTAACACTCCCCTAGCTATTGAGAAGATAGAAATAAAAACTACCCCACATCCTGTCCTCCAGCCTCAAACGTGTATCACAAAGGCATTATCATAGCGTTTACAGCCAAGAAGAGTGGCGCCTAAAGAGATTGACTTACTTGAATTTCACGAGGTCTCTCATGGCCAAACTCTTGCTCTTGAGTTTAATGCCTCAGGTCTCCATCTGTAAAACTGGGTCAATAATCATAACTTCTTTACATACTTGTCATAAAGAAAAGTAAGTGAAGAGATAATGTGGATAAAGTGCCTAGAACAGTGCCTGGCACAGAACACTAGATTACCTTTGGCTACTATTATGACTATTTTGTGAGCTTTATTGTTACTTTATTCTTTAGTGCCTAACAAAGAAATAAAGCACGAGCTCCAAATCTGCTGGATTAATTCTTTTCCCGTCAGCGCCCCATCTCCTTACTGACGTAGCCAGCTCTGCACCCAGCGTTAATTACCCATCTGTGCTCCTTTGCCCGCCTGACACGTGGGGATACATGGCTCGTGCACTAGGGCGGTGTCAGGACCTAGACTGATGTCTGGTACATGTCTGTGTAAACCTGAGATGGGAACAGTCCCGGAAGATGGGGCGGCGGGGACAAATGAGAAGAATCGTGAACGCGTCGGGAGACTTCTCACTTCTACATGACTGTGGTCTCTATTACATGTGCATGCTCAGGCAAGGGACTCCATGTCTCAGGCCTCCGTTTCCTCTTTTGTAGAAAAAGGAATAATATTCTTTCTGTTTCTTCTCTCAAAGGGTTGCTGTGACGACCTTGAAGTAGGATGTCTCAGACAGCGCGCGGTCATTGGAAGCCCTAGAGCCTTAGAAATGGCGAGGAAGAGGGGGAGGGTGTCACGTGACGAGCCCTGCGGGGTCTCCGCAGACCTCCGCGCGCTTTTCCTAGAATGTCTCATCTCTATGGTCGACGGCGCTCAAATTCCCGTGCAGGCAAGTTGTTCTTCCGGGGTCATTACCACCGCTTCCAGGGCGGGCCGCAGCGTGGTGGGATTGCTGTGCCCCAAGCTCCCTCCGGGCCTGTGTTGCCGCCCTCTCTGCTGCTATGAGCTTCCTCAAAAGTTTCCCTCCGCCCGGGCCGGCTGAGGGGCTCCGGCAGCAGCAGCCAGATACCGAGGCGGTGCTGAACGGGAAGGGCCTCGGCACCGGCACCCTTTACATCGCCGAGAGGTAGGGTTCTTGTTCCCGAGCGCTGGCCTGCGCCTTGCCTTCCTGCTTGCTGGCGCAGGCGGTGCGGAGGAGCCAGGCGAGACGCGACCTCGGGGGCTGCTGGGCGGGGGCGCGTGCTCCGCGTCGCCTCGGGGATGTCTCTGCTGGAAGGAAGACTTCGGTGATTATAGCGTCCTCTTTTCCGGAGCCTTTCTTTCTCTCTTCTCCGGCTGGAATTTCCTCTCACAGATAGCTTTTCATCTGCTTGTTTACTGGAGGTCTGGCATGTGCGTTGTTCTTAACTTATATAGTCTCGTTTTAAGGTTTTGAGTTTCCACATCCTGAGTTAGTGTTCGATGTGCCTGGCTTTCCGGATGGGGCAGGTGCAGGAGGTGTTCCCCTGGGCAGGATATGTAGGTTCAGAGCACATTGTGGAGGACTTTGAAAGTTGGATTGAGTATAGATTTTCTCTAGGTGTAGGTGGGGAGAGGAATCCTCAGCGCTCCGCAGGCTGGGGGCATATCCCATGGGACCTGACTCTCCTTTCGGGCCTTGAAAGGAATTACCCTTTTATTTGGCCGCAGTTTGTACTTTCCTAGTCAGATAGAAATGCCTTAAATGTTACAGTTGTAGATCTGAGGTCTCTGTTTCCTTGACATGTGGTCCCCTTCACTTTCAAGCCAACAATGACACATTGAGTCCTTCCTGTGCGTTAGATTTCTCAGGCTTCCCCTTTTGCTATTTCACTTTTGTCTACAGCCAGCGAAGATTCTCTGCTTGGAGATTCCCATGTGCTTACGTTGGGCCCACCTAGATAATCCTGGATAATCTATGTTACTGTCAGCTGCTTAATAACGTTAATTACATTTACACAGTCCTTTTTGTCATGTAATGTATTCAGAGGCTTGACACCAGTAGATGAAGGACATGTTAGCCAAAATCTGCCTACTACATAGTCCAGAGCACCAGAAAAAGAAAAAAAAAATCTGTGAAGAGGCCCTGCTTTCGAGGGAAATTTAGCCATTGAGCAAAGCTTAGGCTTTTGGCCAGTCACTGAGATAGGAAATATGAATGTGTTAGGTAGACAGTGAGGGATCAGACTAAAACCTAACAGATGGAAGGAAAAACAAGATTGGGGTGAGGGGCAGATAACGAGCTGGTCAGGATGTGTGTGGAATAATTGGGCATCGCGTGAGTGTGTGTCTTGGGAGAGTGGTGTTAAAAATAGACATCTGGAAGTCATTAAGTATAAGCATATATTAATCGGAAAGGATTACGTACCCCAGAAGAGAAGAAGACCAAGAATAGAATCTTGGGGATACAGCCACATTAAGAGATAGGTCGTGGAAGAAGAGAATTGAGAAAAGAGGACAAAGGAGCAGTCAAATAAAAATAAAATCTGAAGAGCATCGATTGGGTATTGACAAGGAGATCTTTGACGATCTTGGGGAAAGCAGTTTCTTTTAAGTGTTGGAGGATGGAGCATAGATACATTCCTAGTTCCTACACAGTCCTTTTTTCTTCATGACATCTCTTTATAGTGACTCTTCTTTCTATATTATAAGTCATCTTTGGGGACCATCCTGTATTTGTTTTTGCATTCTGAAAAATGTGAAACCTAAAGAAAAGTTGAAAATGTTATTAATTAATACCCATATACCCTTCACAAAGATTCATTAACATTTTGTCACATTTGTGTCTCTTATTTTCCTGAGTTTTTGAGAACTGCAGACATGTTTTCACTTCATTTGTAAATACTTTAGCATATATCTCAGAAGAAGAACAACATTCTCCTCTATAAGCACAACATAATTTATTATACTCAGGAAATATAACTCTTTTCTTAAATTTTTAACTGTTTCAAAAAAATTCTTATTTCAGCTTTTCACTAACAAATCTGTTTCTTAAAATTTTTTTGGTAAAATATACATACAAAAAAGAATATGTTATATATGTATGGAAGAATATAAGTAATACATGTATGAAAAAAATAATTAAGCCAACACCTGTGTATTTACCATCCATGTGAAGAACAGAATATTACCAGTAATTGGGCAGTTCTGTTCGTCTCTCTTTACTCATTCTTAGCCTTGCCTCCTTGGTCTCTTCCTCCTTTTTGCTTCTTCCCACCTAGCATTTCCAATTCATGAGAGAGTTAAGGTTGTAACAAACTGGCAAGGCTTCTTGGAGGATGTGAAAAGTGGTTAACAGCCAGATGAATGGGGTAGAGCTAAGGAGAAATATTCTAATTAGAAAAAAACAGAATGCTCAGACACAAGAGTGAGAAACAGTATTATGCGTGCCAAGATATATGTATTTATGTGTGTTTAATACATACACATAGAGAGTCTAGCAGTTCTTCCTCTGAGGGAATGAGGGCCAGTGGAAAGGGGTAATAGAGCTGAAGAGGGAGAGAGCCATGTTGATGAGCTTGGCTTATACCCCTTAGGCTATGGGGAATCTATTTTAGGGTTTTAGGTGAAGAGGGATAGCTTCTGATTTGGTTTTAGGTAGATTTGGTTTTAGCTTCTCAGATGTATATTGAGAGATTTAGAACTCTCAGGCTTATTTTCAGAGCTTAGTTTCCTTAGGTAGTTGATATTTTACCCAAATAAGGAAGGTATAGAGGCATGAATAATACAAAATAGGTAGTTTATTTTATTTTATTTTTTTGTAACAAAGGGAATGGCCTGAAACAAAATGCGTAGTTTAAAACAGGTTAAAATAAAATAGGTAATTTAAACATAGAAATAATGCTTTTTTGTATCTCTTCCAAAATTGATGTTAAACCAAATAATTAAGCAACCCAAATTGAAGATGCTTCTTAACCTTCCTGTCCTGTTTTTCACTCCATGCCTGGAATAAACGACACTGGTCATACTTGTGCAAAGCATTAGAGTTTAGCAAAACATTTTTCTACATGTTTACTGGCTTTTTTTTCTTTTTCTTATTTTTTTTTGAGACAGAGTCTTGCTTTGTTGCCCAGGCTTGAGTGAGTCTTTTTTTTTTTTTTTTTTTTACTTCAATGGAAAGGACTTTCTAATTTTTGTCTTTCCCTTTTGACTCATGTTTTCTTCAGGACTTGTAGTAAATTAGATATTTTGG